AAAGAAGAGAGAGGGTCTTAGAATTCATTAGGACATCACCTTAATAGCTGTAAAAATGAAGTAGTCAGTAGTCCTACCAGATTGGAAATATGTATGTGGGAGACATACAGGATTACATTAAGTTCAGAAGTCAATACACTTAGAAAGCTATTTGAATTTCTTATGCACTAAAGACTAATAAAATTCTATCAAGTAACATGACAGCTTGGGGTGGGAGTTACAGAATTTCATGAGTAGGCAGGTAGGACAGGTAATTATGACTCCACCTTAGGAAAGTACACTCCCCGTGTGAAGGCTGCGATACAATCTGTGGAGGAGTTTGACACATGAGTGTAAATGGGGTTCAGGTGCATCATTCAGGTCACTGTCAAGAACCCTGTCTCATTCAATATCTCTGGGTCTAATACAAGGGGATAGAAAAATAGAATCAAAGTACAAATCTGATTGGGTATGAAAAGTTTTTAAAATCCATACAGTTTTTTCATAGTACACATTTTCCAGCTGATTAAATATTCCCCCGGTATGACATGTCATAAACAAACTATTTTTATTTTAATATTGAAATACTTAGAATTAAGCACAGAAATGTTTAAAAGAATCAAAATCATAGTGTGGCACATGGTGTATGCATGCCCGAATCCCAAAAGAAGAAATGGAGCAATGGTATGACCACCCCCAAGGGAGTGCTTTCTTTCTCCCTTTCAGTTTCTCACATGCACCCTTCAGCATTTTTTGAATTTTCAACTTGAAAGTATAAGAAGAGGTCATATTTTTTCCCCCACCCTATCTCTGGCATCTGCAGTTGTTTTCCATTCCTTTATTCTTCTCCACGTTGTATTGATTCACAAAATATCTTAATTAATCTAAATACTTTCAATAGTAAGATCAGCTGATATATACATATCTGTGAACAAAAGTTGACTTTAGACATGAAATTCTGTGGGTAGAATGAATATACTATAAAGTAGCACATAGCTGAGGCTATCTAGCTTACTGTGGTTACTAAATAGGTATTGTTTAAATACATTTTTTTAATTTCAAGAAAGGAAGTTTTAGCTTTAATAAATCAAAATCAAAAAATGTTAAGAGAACTTTGCTTAATACTTAAAGCCAGGAGACAGGTTAGGATTCTGTTCGAATAGTAAGTACATGGCCCTGTCCACAACTCAAGAGAAGACGAAACTCCTTAACACTGGAAAACAAAGCATAGGTCAGGAATGTTTTAGTCAAAAGTCATAAAATTCTATTTCATGAGTTCAAACTCATGTACTTTATCTTCTGTTGTCTGATCTTTCCGTTTAAATTCTGGAAGATAACGTTCAACTCTAGACTTGTCCCTACCATTAAGCTGGCCATTTTCTTAGTTGTTTTAGAACTATTATTTCTGTGTGTCTGACTTCAGTTTTCCTGGGATAGAACTCCCTTCAGAACTTCTTGGCAAGCTGATCTGGTGTTGGTAAATTCTTTCAGGTTTTGTTTATCTGAGAATGTTCTTGTCTTCTCTTCCCATATGAAGGATAATCTTGACAGATACAGTATTCTTGATTGAAATGTTTTTTCACTCAATAATATATTTTCCCATTCTTTCCCTGCTCACATTGTTTCTGATGAGAGATCTGCTGTTAGCCTGATGGTATATCCTTTGTAGGTAACTTAATGTTTCTTTCTGGCCAGTCTGAGTATCTTGTTTTTAAATGTGCAATTGAGTAACAAATCTAGGCTTGATTTTATGAACTTTCACTATGTTTATACAGTATTAGAATAATTAAAACCACTTAAATTTCACATTTACTTATGCTTAGCAAATAAATGTAAACTTAATAAATTAGAGTTTTAAGAATAACTTAAGAATTTGGAAAGACTGGTCAGTTAATTTAAGTATTTGAAAAGAATATTAAAAGTATTTCAAAAGAAATCTACTTATGTTTAAATTTGTGCCTAAACATTCAAGTCTAAATTGGGTATTGAAATTAAAGTTAGAGGAGCCAGGAGGTGGTGCAGTGGTTAAGGTGCTGAATTCCCACATGGCCAACCACGGTCCAAGTCCTGGACCTGGTGACTTGAAAACCACATCAGGCAAGTGGGTATGCATGCCCAAAAGCCTGAGAGGAGAATGAAGGAGAAGGGATTGCTACATGGTGATATATATAAAACTTGGGCTAGAAGATGGAGTTAAGGCAGCTGAATCCTACATAACCAACTCAACAGTTCAAATCCTGACAGCTCAAAAATCATGCTGGGCATGAGTGTGTATATACACAAATCCCAAAAGGAGAAATGGAGGAGAAGGGATAATGGCATGAACACCCCCCAAAGGATACTTTCTATGCTCTCTCTCTCTCTATTTCTCTCCAGTGAACACATGTACCCTCCAGAATTTTTTTTTAATTTTGAACTTGAAAGTATAAGAAGAGATTACATTTTTAAAGGAATTATTTATTTTAGTTTTACTTTTATTCATTTATTATTATTATTCTATTTGATCAGAGAGAGACAGAGAAAGAGAGGGAGAGTGAGAAAGCAAGCCTCCAAGTTCAAGACTCAAACATGGTAGGCCATGGGGGAGTCTACCACACCACCTGTTGGCCCCAAGATGACATTTTTAAATTTTTACTAATTTAATGGAAAAACTCAATCACTAGATCCACTGCACATCTCTTGACAGCATCTCTCCAAACTTAAAACAAAAATCTCCTTTGTTACCATTTATTTAGGGAACATTCTTTTATATTATTTCCTTCCTGTCTCCTCTCAATTTTCTTCATCTGGAATTTTACATTAGAATATAAGATTTCCAAACCTAGTCTCTGTTTGCAGAGACTGGACAAAGAGACTTTCTGCTGTCTCATAAAGACTGTAGAATATTTGAACTTATGTTTTTTACAGTTTTAACTTAGTTCTTGATAATTACTCCTGGAGTCTTTTCTCAGGCTTAGATAGCAGTAATGCCAGTTTCAAGTAATTATGGCTGACCACTCACTCCTTTGCAAGCCTAACTCCCCAAAGTCATAGAATCTTTCTAGATTAGAAAAGAGCCCTGAGACACAGGATACACATGGGACAGGCACTATGGCCACCTGAGGATCATGGTAGGTGGGCATTTTCATATGCCAGAAATGCACTAAGATGTATTATTCAAGATAAACCTTTAGGGACCTACATCTATTTTGTTGTTGTTGTTGTTTGTTTTGTTTTGTTTTGATCATAATCTTCTTTATATTACATTGGATTACATACAACTTTACAGTGTATTACATTGCTTTTTCAAAAGGGAATGCCATGCATGTCAGTCAATACAGAGACATTAATGTTGTTTTTCAGATCTTAAGTAACAAAGTGAATATGTCCAATTCTTGGACCCAAAGAATCTACTTACCTCTTTCTTCAGTGTCATTGTGCTCTGTACCCAATGGGGCAGCCTTCTTGATACATTAAGGCTTCTGGACTGTGGGGGGGGCGGGGGAGGGTGTCTTTGGAACTTAATTGCCCACATTTTAGCTCCAGCTGCCTGCCTTAATGATCCCTTAGTCAACTCTCCTCTTTTCTGTTGTGGCAGACTGGCCTTTGTGACTAACGTTGTACTAAATTAACCATCAACATGCCTCAATTTCCTCTTAGACTCTGCTCATAAAATGTGATCACCTCAAAGACCCCATGCATGATTCATTCAAGTCCCTTAGAGAGGAGCTCGTGTTGATCCCTGGAGACCCAGAAGCCTGTTAACAGTAGAGCCAGAATCAAGAACAAGATTTCTTGATGCTCCATAGGAACCGACTTAGTCCACAGACTAGGTAACAGCTCTGACATTGTACTCAGGAACACACAAAAGGATTTTCCTTGTTATAGCCTCCCAACTATTTTAATAGAGGAGATGTCATGGCAGTTATCTACAATAGTTCATGTTCCCCCAAAAGCAGGTGTTGGAAACTTAATCTCTCATGCAACAGTGTTGGAGGTGGAATCCTAATGGGAAGACTGTGAGTCATCAGGGCTTCACCTTCATAAATGGATTAATACCAATTATAAAAAGTCTTGAGGCTTCATGTTTGATCTATGGCCATGTGAGGTCTTCTGCCATGTTATGAGGCAGGAAGAATGAGGCTCTCACCAGACGTTAGCATCTCAGTAATCAGCTTCCCAGCCTCCAGAGTTGTGAGATACTGTTTTTTATTTATATACTACTCATGGTATTTTGTTATAGCAACACAAAACAGACTAAGACACCAGCTAACCTGTGTGGTAACTTTTTACTCTTAGAGAGAACATCACAATTCTCCTTTCCCACTCTCATGGCTTAGCAAACATAGATCCTTGGGAGGATTTCCCTTTATCTTGTCTGACAGATTGCACAATTCAAAGAAACTTCTGGTTTACTTTTCTCTTGGGAAAACTCAGTGTTATAGAAAGAGATATTGTGGGTTAGCAGGTGGCATGGTGGTTAAGGTGCCAGATTCTCACATGGCCAACCACAGTTCAAGTTCCAGACCCAGTGACTTGAAAAGTGTACTAGGTGTGTGTGTGTGCATGCCCAAATTCCTGAGAGGAGAATGGAAGACAGGGGGTTGCAATGTGGTCATCCCCCTATGGAGGTGATGTCCCACTTCTCTCTGGCAAGCACACACGCCCTATTGCAAAATAAATAAATAAATAAATAATAAAGAAAAAAAAGAAAAAAGAAAAGAAAAAGAAAGAGATGTTTCATGGGGCCAGCAGGTGGTGTGGTGGTTAAAGATGCTGGACTCTCACATGGCCAATCATAGTTCGAGTCCCAGACATGGTGGTTTGCTTTCTCACTTTTCATCTCTCTCCCTCTTCTCTTTGTCCCTCTATGGTCAAATTAAAATTAAAATAAATAAAAATAAAATTAAAATAATTCTTTTTTTAAAAAAAGAGAGATGTTTCCAAAAACAGGAATTCATTTGTCTTGCAGCTTTTTCCACATGATGCTAGTGTTGGTTGGGGGTGGGGTGAGTTAAACAACAAAAACAAAGATTTGAGGTGTCTGCACCAAGGTGCATGTATTCTTTATTTCTCATTGTAGCAATAAGATAACCAAGTATAATTCCATGTTTAACAAGATACAAAAAATATTAATTCCAGGAACCTTGAGCATTATCTATAGGCAAATAAAATATGTATTTTTCATAGTGAGGCATCAAACTTTAAACAGCCTTGGAAGAGTCACTCTAGCCCCTGAATACCATGACGCGCATGATGTACAAAATGAATTTATCACCCAGGGTATTTTCAAACCTAGAAGTAAAACATTTAAGTTCAAATACTTTTACATAATTGGAAACACAAACAGTACACTGAGAGTTATCCTCAGCCAGTTGTTCTGCAAACAGAAGGCCAAGAAACAAAAGCATGAACAAACCAATAAACAAAGGTTTATTTAGAAAGACTGGAAAACCATCAGAATCACATCTCGTCTTCCGATTCTTGTTCTCGTTCAGCATTTTTCAGGAGTCCAACATCTGAGGGGCAGAGCCTCTTAAGTCTGGACTTAACCAACCTGAGGAGAAAGAGCATCACTAGGTTAGATGATGTTTAAAATAGAACCTCATAGTGATGCACATCTATAATGCAACAAACTCCAGGTTATTTATGCAAGTGGGGGAGGCAATCCAAAAAGAGAAATCATTTTCTTTGGCTGTGGATCTCCCTAAACATTTCTGTAGATCAATGAAGGGTGTAAGCGAACAGATACAATGCGGCTTTTGACTGTATTCCATGACTGTTTAATTAGCATCAAAGGGAAACTTAGATCATTTCTAAAATGCACAAGAGCCTCTCTCGGCTGTATCAAGCACCGATGAAACCAAGCTCGGTTGAGCTCCTGTATCAAAGCTCTCCTAGCCATGTATTGTAAAAAGTTGCCCTCTCCTGTAAAGGAAATGAGTGAGACAGCTTCTTCCCTACAGTTGGCAGCCTAGGTCAAGCCTATGACAAATCTGGGCTAGATATCAACCCCTACTTGCCCTTTCAGAGGGATGTTTTTTTGTTTGTTTTGTTTTAAGGAATTATTTTATTTAACTTTATTTTAATTTGGCCAGAGAGGAATAGAGTAAGAAAGAGAGAGAGGGAAAGTGAGAAGCAAGTCACCAGGTTCAGGACTTGAACCGTGGGAGCCAAGCGCCCTTAACCACCACACCACCTGCCGGCCCCCAGAGGGGTATTTTTGGGCAGGACAAGTGAGGCCCTCTCTGTGATGAATTAAGAAATTCAAAGAAGTGCCTTCCACTCTGCATCTGTTTTCATACTTCAAGGGAATCTGTTGGTTTTGGAGAAGCTATGATTATCATGGCACTAGAAGAGGCAAAGCTTCTTTGTGGCAAAAACTACTTCTCTAATGTGGGAAAAAGAATATGTAGCAAGAAGTAGGCAAAGCTTTTCCTGTGTATAATTATCACAAAGACACGTACTGTGACTGTATCAGTAAAGCAGTTAACATACAGAAATATGTAGAAAGGTGCAAATCAAAGTTGATAAGCCAAATCATCAAAGATATTCTCCTTTTATGAAAAATGTCACTGGCCTAACTACTCCTTTCCTTATTTTCTGACTGTTTTCTTCTAAGAAAGGTCTGGACTGGCCACAAATAATACCTTCATTTTGGCTCTGGGTCCCATAGAACATAAAGTCCATTTTACTCATTCCCCTAACCCCAGCCAGGGTCTGGAATAATAGCTGGTCCATAATAGGGGCTCAACAGACATTTGATAATAGTGGCCTTTGATGCGATTTAGCAGGTGCTCACATCACTCACCTGTTCATGAAGGTTAATCTCCAGTCACTTCTAACCCATCATTAACTCCCCCAATAAATAACAACTGAGTACTGTCAGTAATATTTGTTGACTCAAAAGCCTAGGAAAACCACTTGAAATCATTGGTCTTAATTATTAATTGACCATTGATATTGTTTCCAATATCATCAACTTTTCACACTACTATTTTCATAAAAGGGTAACCTTAAATAAGGTGAAGGCCAAACTGTGTTTATATTAATTTTTAAAAACACACATTAGTTCAACATTCCATTACTTCAGCATATGCTAAATAGATCAAAGAATCGATTCATTCATTCATTCCTGATGGTTCTTGTGAAAAATAAAACAAAGACATGGATTATTACAAAATGATGGTTATCATAAACCCTAGCAACTCCTCTTGCTTCTTATCCCTTCTCTCTGGATTCTATCTGCTTTTGCTATACGCCACCAAACTGAGACATGTTCAGACACTTTCACCAGGCTCTGCCTCCTGGCTCTAGGCATTTCACACACAATGGTCACCAGGGGCAGATTGAAAGGTGGAATAATAAAGAGGAAATGCATATATGGTTACAGGAACGGTGCAAGCCCAAGGAACCAGGATGAAGGCATGCTTGCATTTTGCTCCCTTACAATTAACATGAGACAATGGGTATTCCTCCAGGAAGTGATCATATGCCTGGAATATGAGCATTTCTATTTGGTTCTTCAAAATGTTTACGTGGATTATTGCTTGGAAAACTGACCTGTAGATGAGCAATATTTTACTCACCATAATGAGTTTTTTTTTTTAACTTTTTAAAAATTTTGATTTCTGGTTTACATAGAAGAAGGCTTTTTAAATAGTTCTATGCAGTAGAGTTGCTTAAATGTGCGGCAAAGGGTTGGTCCCTCATTGCAGTGGTTAGGCACTGTGTGGACGGAGCCAGATCCTGCATGGCCAACCACAGTTGGAATCCTGACCCCGGGTAGCTCAAAAAAAAAAAAAAAAATGCCAGTATAGTGTGCCTGATAGGATGGAGAAAGAGAGGAAAAGGGATTGCAAAGAGACGAGTCCCCAATGAGTGGCTCTCTCTCTCTCTCTCTCTCTCTCTCTGCCATGAGAGTATGACCTCTGGCATGGAAAAAAATAATCTGAGAATCAGACTATACATTAAAAAGATTTCCGAAAAGAAAGTTCTTCCCTCTGAGCTATCAAAATCAAGACCACAGGCATGGAACTGATTGGGGCAATCTTAGAACTCAGAAATCCTTTACTCTAGAAAAGTGAGAAGTACAGCTTCACACTTTTTCAAAGATTTAGAGGACAGTAGTTCCATAACCCAGTGGTGCCTCCACAATAATCTTTGTGTTATGTCAGACAAATTATGACAATCTATCACTTGTGAATGAGTTATAAACTACTTTCAGACAAACCCTGACACACAGATTATCAAGATTCTTTATGGGTACAGGACTCAATCAGCTTGCCATGTGACCTCACTGAAAAGTAGGACTGAATCTTCATGATGTATTTAAAGCTACTGCTTAAGTGCATAACAATGCACTTAAGTGCAAACTTCATTCTTAGTCTTATGTTTCTAAGAACAATCTGAGAACAAAACGGAAAAGCATATAAAACATGATTTTCAAACAAATGAAGCTTATATTTAAATATCTCTGAAACATAGATATATTAAAACAGCAAACAAGGGTTTATCAAGGGTCTACTATATGTTTGGCAGGGTTCCAAGAGGTGTGCAAACTATAAAAAGGAGTCTTTTTTTTCAAGGAGACACAATCCAGTCAGCAGAGAAAACAAATCCCCATGAGCTAATAGTAAACATCATGAAAGATCACAATTGTTAAATGTATGCTGGAGACCAAAGTGACATTAAAAACAAACAAACAGAAACCCAGAAGGAAGAGGAACAAAGGCTAAAGTAATCTCATAAGTTTTCATAAAAGAGATGAGCATTGGAACCAGCAGATGGAGTAGTGGTTATGTCACTGGACTCCCACGTAGTCAACCATGGTTCAAATCCCAGACCTGGTGCCTTAAAACTCACGCTGGGTGCATGTGTGTGTATGCCCAAGATCCCGAGAAGAAAATGGAGAAGAGATTGTAGCATGGCCATACCCACTGGGGGGTGATTTCTTGCTTTCTGTCTCTCTGGTGAGCATACAAACCTGTAGCAAAAATCACTCTTAAAAAAATTATTTAATTAAAAAAATTTAAAAAGAGCTATGTGGTCACAAAGATTAGAATAACATCTGAGGGGAGAAGGAAGTTGAAAAATAAATATAGGTTTTCAGCTTCTAGAGAACTCTAAGTGGGTAAGAGTTTCCTTAGAGGTCTGAAGGTTTTTGAAACAGGAAGAAAGAGTAGTCCTCTTTTGGCTCTGGAGGGGAGCTGACATGAGGTCGAGCACTTCCTCGAATGCTGGCCTTGTTCTTGGAGGCTGCCCAGTCTGTAAGGAGAAGCGGCCCAGAAGTCAGCCTAGAACAGGGGAAGAAGTCAAGTTTCACTCAGTGGCAGAGCAGCCTTAGCAATGAGCTCATGCACATGCTTTGAGGAAATGGAGTAAGACTAATAGAAATCAGTCAAGGAGAAGGTAGAATTTCCCAGCACCCAAGGCACTTAGACCTCTCTGAGGAGGCAATAGCAGATCAAAGCAGCTGAGACAAACAAAGCCTAACAGAGACATCTGGGCTAGACAAGCGAATAATTTCTCCCTTCAGAACTCCAGAACCAGAGTTGCTCCAGCACAAGGATCCTACAGAGGAGAAGAGCCTGGGGCCCACGTCTAGAAAGAAGAGAGGAAAGCTGGTTCCAACAGAGGTTAACACCCCACTAGGCCAAGAGAAGCTACTGCATTTTAGAATTGAGAGGCTGCTAGATGGGTCGTGTTAACATGGCAGCTACTCTCCACATAGGGATATTTAAATCCAATTAAAACAAATGTGGCTCTACTCATTTCAAATGCTCAATGGCTAGTGGGAATCATATTGATATAATAAAGTGGATACAGAACATGGGAGATCAGTTCCAAAGTCTGAAGGATCAGGTACTGGAGCTTTCATACTTGGTAACTGGGATCGGCCTAGCCAGTCGTGATGGGTCTATACTACTGTAGAGAGAGGAACCATGAAGTCCCATGTCTATTCCTGCTCATCCTTCAAGCTGCAGCTTAATTTCCAAGTGGGGGGAGGCTTCCCCTGAATTTCAACAGTACTATGCCTTTCTACTATTTCCATCTTTTGCACTGTATTTTAAGTATGTCTAATTTAGTTCTAATTATAGAACTAAGCATTCATTATGGGCAGGTCTCTATCTCATTCATACCACATAGAAAGCATAAGGAAGAGAAGCCAGAGAACAAGAACAGAGCGAGAACAAGAACACAATATCATTTCTTAAACTCTTCACCACTTAAAGATGTCATCCCACTTAGGTAATACTATTAATCCCATTTCACAACCAACACAACTAAGATTTAATATAGTTAAGTAACTCACCTGAAACCACACAGCTGGTAAGCAACAGAACTAGGAAAATGTGTTCTTATCAACCTGCTATATTGATAAGCTCATGAAACATGAAAGGTCTTGTAAAAAAAAAAGGGGGGGCACTATTGGACTGAATGGTCCATTCTTTCTTTTAGAAATAATGTCAATTAATCAGGCATTTAAATTTTAAAGGACACTTACAAGTTGGTCAAAAGTGACTCCATGCTTAAGGAGTGCCCTAGTTAAAGGGTACACATGAGTAGATGGAGGTTCACTGCAGGTGGAGGCAGCGCAATCAGGAGTGGGAACGGCACATTCAAGGACATGGGACACAGTCAAGCGTGCCGAAGGATGACGGGTGGGTCAGCAGCACAGGGATGACATCGAGCTATTCCACCTTTAAACTAGCACTTACTCTTCTAATTGAGAACTTCGGTGTTCGCAGACAATTTTCTGCTATGCTGCTTGTTTTATGGGATGATAAGGAAGGAAATACTAAGTTTAACATCAACACTAGCAAGTCTCAATGATCATACATAAGGAACAGAACTTCTATGAGCAAAAATGACAAACTTACCAGGTGGTAAAAGCATAAATCACTCCAATGATGACAAGGTTAACTGCATAATGCCAACAAAAGCATATGGTGAGGAAAAAAACGTTGTCATGATCTAATAAATCCCACGAAGGATGCCCACCAAGGGGATACAGGACAAAAGCAATCTGTCATTTAGAACAAAAAGCACAAATTAAAATAATCAATTGCATTCCCAAAGGTAGCACATTTCAAAATTCTTGGTTTCAAGATACACGGTAGCTAAAACAACCCATTACTTGAATTGTCACAGATAGAACAGATTTTGCTATCTGGTTTAGTAACAATAATTTTTTGTTAGTTATTATTATTATTTATACATTCAATCACTATACATCATTTAGATCATAAACAGACCTTACCCAGCATGATACACATCTCAGTCCAGTTGATAATACTGTACACATCCTCATCAACAGATAATAAACCATATCTGTGTCCACAAATATCTACCTACCATATTACATTTCTGAAAATTTTTTTAAAAATATACATATTGGGATCCAGCAGTTAGCGTAATGGCTATGTCGCTGGACTCCCATGTAGTCGACTGTGGTTCGCGTCCCGGACCCGGTGGCTTAGAACTCACGCCGGGCACGTGTGCGTGTGTGTGTGCCCAAGATCCCGAGAGGAGAATGGAGGAGAAGGGATTGCGGCATGACCATCCCCCCTGGGGGGTGATTTCTCGCTTTCTGTCTCTATATCTCTGTCTGTCGGGTGAGCGCACGCGCCCTATAGCAAAAACCTCTCAAAAAATATATATATATCTGTACATACTGATGAACTTTGAAATTATGAATAATAATTTTCTGGCAGTGAGTAGACTTTTAAAGAATGTCCTAGGTTTCTACATTGTACAGTTTCACTCTGTTATCTCAAAATTAGAGTATAAAAAGTTTCCAAAATTTAAAAATGCCCACAGATAACATTATATTCAGTGTGAAAGACTGAAATATTCATTTTACCCTAAGATTATGAAAAAGGCAAGGATGTCAGCTTTCACTAGTTCTATTCAATGTTGTACTAGAATTTCTAGTTAGAGCAACTAAGGAAGAAAAATAAATAAAAGGACCCATATTGGAAAGCAAGAAGTAAAACTTTAATCCCAGATGACATACTTTTATATATAGAAAACTCTAAAGAATACACACACACACACACACTACTAGAGTGAATATATTACTTTGGCATAGATGCAGAATACAAAATCAACACATAAAATCAGTTATATTTCTACAAACAAGCAATGATCAACCCCAAAAAGAAATTAAGATAATTCTATATACAATGGTATTAAAAAGAGTAACAGACTTAAGAAAAAATATAGTCAAAGAGTTTCAGGACTTGTATGCTGAAAGCGGCACAAAATTGTTGGAAGAAATCAAAGACCTAATAAATGGAAAGCTCTCTCCTATACACAGACTGAAAGACTTAATATTGTTAAGATGGCAATACCACTGAAAGCAGCCTACAGAGTTAATGCATCCCTATCAGAATTCCCATCAGAATTTTCTGCAGAAATGGAAAAAGCTGATCCAAAAATTTATATTAAATTCTGAAGGACCCAGAATAGCTAAAACAGCCTTGAAAAAAATATTTAAGGGCTCATAATTACTGATTTCAAAAATTTCTAGAAAACAACAGTAGTTAAAACAGTGTAGTATTGGCATAATGATACACCCATAGTTCAATAAAATAGAGTTGAGGGGCCAAAATAAACTCATATAACTTTGGTCAATTAGCTTTTGACAACAGTGCCAAAGCCATTTAATTGGTGGTATGGGGGAAGTGAAGGAGTCTATTCAACAAATGATGCTGGGACAATTAGATATTCACAAGCTGGGACCCCTTCTTCCTTGCACTATATACAAAAATAACCCTGAGTAGATAAAAGAGCTAAAGCTAAAGCTAAAATCTGAAGACTCTTAGAAAAATAATGTAGGAGGAAAGCTTGTGACTTGGGATTTGGTGATAGTTCTTAGTTATGATATCAAAACCACAATCAAACAAAGAAAAATGCAGGTCAACTGGAGTTCACCAAAATTAAAACCTTTTTCCTTCAAAGAACACTGTCAAGAAAATGAAAAGACAACTTATAGCATGGAAGCAAATATTTATAAAGCATACATCTAATAAGGGAGTAATATTAGACTATATAAAGAACTAAAACTCAACAACAGAAATAAATTAATGGGCAGGGCTGGCAGGTGGTATGGTGGTTAAGGGTGTTGGGCTCCCACATGGCCAGCTGCAGTTTGAGTCCTGGACCTGGCAGCTTGCTTTCTTACTCTCTCTATCTCTCTCCTTCTCTGGTCAAATTAAGATAAATAGATAGATAGAGATAGATAGATAAAATAAATTAAATGAAATATTTCTCAAAAAATGTAATGGGCAAAGAACTTCAAGAAACATTTCAAGAAACAGAAATGGTCGATAAACACATACAAAAATGACTGACTTACTCATTAGGGAATTGTACATCGAAACCACAATGATTTATCACTTTGTTTCCACTAACATGGCAATAATAATAATCATAAATAAAAATAGCAAGTATTGGTAAGAGTATGGAGAAATTGGAATCTTTATATATTATTGATGGGCATGCAAAATGGTACAGCTACTCTGGAAAACAATTTGGTAGTTTCTCAGAAAGTTAAATATGGAATTACTACATGACCTGGCAATTCTACTCGTAGGTTCCCAAAAGAACTGAAAACAGATATTCAAACAAATATTTACATACAAATGCTCATAGCAGCACAATTCTTAATAGACAAAAGATAAAAACAACCCATTCATCAGCTGATAATAGAACAGCAAAATGTACTATATCTATACAATGGAATATTAATTCACCATAAGAAGGAATGAAGTATTATTACATACTACAAAGAGGATAAAATTTGAAAACATTCTAAGTGAAAGAAGACTGACACAAAAGAGATATATTTTGTAATCGCATTCACATAAAATATCCAGAATAGTTACCTATAGTCAGGGGGACTGAAAGCAGTTTAGTGATTGCCAGGGCTGTGGGAAGAGGAAATGGAAAACTGACTGCTTAATGAGTGCTTGTTCCCTTTTAAGGCGATGGAAATGCTTTGGAACAAGATAGTGGTGATGGGTGTGCATTGTGAGCATACAAATGACACTGAATTGTACACTTCAATTTTATCCCAATAAAAAAATAAGTAAAAAGATAGGTAGGTAGGTAGGTAGGTACATACATACATACATAGATGAATGTATTTTAGGTTTCTGGAGCTAAATGAAATACAAAGCCAAGATAATATTATGGATAATTACATGAATGTCTATCATACACTGACTATGTGTCAATTACACTGGTCAGGAGCATCCTTACAATGGCCTTTTAATGGTGTATTATTAATCCCATTTAAATGTATGATTATCCTCATTACCCAGAAAAGAAAACTGGGTAGTTTAGTGACTTTTCCATGAACACATAGTCAATAAATGAAATTTCAACACAGAAAACAGTACTCTATAATAATATTGAACAGAAATTTAATTCCATTTCTGTTTGAAATTTTAAATAATCGCAGTAAATTAGAGAAAACTAAGGTATGTACCACCTAATAGACATGCCACCATGTGCCGAGCACTTTCTCTCACTCATGCATGTAAACTTCATTGTAATCCTTAGTCTTGGAAACAACCTCAAGAAGAAGACATTGTCATCCCCAGATTACAGAAGTGAAGATTAGAACTCAGAGACTTCAGTAGATTTCCCAATATTACAAAACAGCTGAATGACTTGACTAAGGTTGGATTTCAAATGAGGAGTGTCTAGATCTAAAAATATCTCTGTTCTTTCTTCTATTCCATACTCTCTTTCACCATACAGCCTGTCCATACCAGATGTAATGTGAAAGATACTAGCCTGGGTAACAAGGTCAGTTTAATTCATCTTAGCAGTTCCCATATGATCTAAACAATCAGTACTGAGATCGAACTTGCTCCCATGAAGACACGGTACTATGTTTTACCTGTTAAACATGTATTGCAAACTGGCATCCCCTGAACCATAATTAATTCACAGACATGCTCTGTCTGGCCTGTATATTTTTTTTAAATAATTTGAATTAGTTGCCAAGTCTTAAAAAATTAGGTAATATCACACAAAAATTTGTACTCTCAAGCTTTTCATAAAAATAGGAATATCTGGCAACATTAGGCCTGTATTGCCAAATGGCAAATATGAAATGAAATATGGAAGCATGCATTCTCCATCAATTCATCATTCAGGTTGCCTGCCCGACCAAATGGAGTAAGGCCAAGTTCTCTGTGTTTGTGCTACTTCTACATATTTTGTTGATTAACCAATGTCTGGATCATAAAAATTCCTGAAAATATCATATTAGTTGAAACAAACAAGGTAGTTCATAATAATATTTTTGCTCTTCTCTTTAACCCAGGAAACAGATGCATTAGTTATCTGTTTTAGAGATAGAAATTATTTATTTATTTATTTATTTTAGGTTATTTGCCATGGGGGCATGTACTCACACTCACCATAGAAAGACAGAAGAGGGGTAAGAAATCACCCCAGGGAAATTGCCATACCACAATCCCTTCTCTTTCATTTTCCCCTTGGGATTTTGGGCACACATGCACACATGCCTGGTATGGGTTTTCAAGCTGCCAGGCCCAGGATTTGACCAGAGTCAATCAAGTGAGAATCCAGTGCCTTAACCACCACATTATCTGCTGGCTCCAGAATAGGAAAATTCTATAAGCATGATCCTGCTTCTTATTCTCCAAACAGTTGTAAAGACACTTGCATCATTTTTGCTATGCCTCATCCACCAAGGGCCGGGTCCTCTGTGTTAGGACCTGGCTATATTCTAAAGAGAAGAGATGTTGACACCACTGGGAAGACACATCAGCCACTAAATGAGAGATGTGAGCCATGATACTTAGAAACTGCAGGCAGAGAATGTCACCCAGCTGGTTTGCCTGCTGTTTTGGACAGATATACCAGTGTTTTGCAATACTCCTTTTGCATACTGCTAGGAAAGTTCACTGTGGGGGACCAAAGGAATAAGAGTTCAGGTTCCAAAAGCCATTGAGAAGAGAAGAATTTCTAGGTCTTCTGTGCTCA